GGGATTTTCTACATAAATAACCCTGTCATCTGGCAATAGGGACTCTTTTAGACTTCTCATCTTATGCATTTTATTTATTTTTCTTACCTTATTGTATTGGCTACAACTTCCAGTACAATTACAAATAGTAATGCTCAAACCAGACATCCTTCCTTGTTACCAAATGTAGGAGGAAACATTCAGTCTTTCATCATTCCATGTGACATTAGGTTGCAGGCTTTTTATAGATGCCCTTTTCACCCACAGATCAAAGGGATCCCGTTCTCTACCGTTTTCCTCCCTGTGATTTCTCTTACACACTCTGGCTTTCAGAAGCACTCTTTCCTGTTGCTCTGTCTAGAAATTCAGGTTGTTAGCCTCCCTGGGTTGCTCTGCACTTCTCCCAATTGGCTCCACCTCAAAGTGGAGAATTCAGATAAAACAACGTTCAGTGCCACTGCTGCCACTACACCACTACTATAGTGACGCAGCTTCATTACTGCGGCTCCATCCTGAGGAGCCTTTCTTTCTGGTCCTTTGTTTGGAGAAAGAGAGACTTTTTCTTGGAGATTTTTCTGATAATGCATGATGCACTACCCTGGAATTTTTCTGCCCTAGAGGGTAATCCAGAAGATATGAGAAGAAAAAACCCTATAAAACTCCAAAAGCAGGAATATTCTTCAAATTTTTGTTTCTATTCCCAGTTTGTTATTATTTATTTTTCAAAGTTCTCAGATAGTTCCTTTATATTTTTTGTCTAAATATTTTAGCTGTAATCAATGGGAGATAGAGTGGATTGTGCCTATTTCCTCTTAAATGAAATTAGAAAAATGCTAGCTCTCTCATAAGGAGGTTCCAGCCTCATGCTTGCACAGCACTCATGTTTATAACTCATTGATCAGAACTTAATAATATAATCATACCTACTTGCCATGTGCATGACCCTATGTCTAGCCAAATAGTAGAGGTTGTGTCATGATGGAAGAATGAAAAACATAGATATTAGGGAACAGATTAGCACCACTATCCTTCAAAACTCTCAAGGCCTAATAGAAGAGATTCACGTGTAAACAAACCATCTGTTACATTATTATGTGGTAAGTGCTATATGAGAGATTTAACCTTGTGAGCATAATTTCTACACTGGGGTCTCTGGAATCTAGGGTGCTCTAAGGGAAGTCATGTAGGTCCCCAAACTATTATAATATTTAGAGAAACTTTACAAAGTCATATGTTTACCTTTGATTACATTCTACAAGTTAATAAAACATTACACTTCTTCCCTTTTGGCTGGAATCCTATCAATTCAATTAGTAATTTTAGTTTTCCCATCCTGATTAAAAGTTTGGAATAGATGTAAAATTTCTCAGTTATTAAAAATGTAAAACAAATTACTTTTTACTTAATAGATGCAACATAGTGGACAATATTTTTTAAAACGTAGAATCTTCATGTTGTTGGTAGATTTTCTTAGTCCAGATTCTTTTGACCGCAACTAGCAAAATAACAAAAATCCAATTCAGGTTTTAGACAGTTTGGCACAAAAAAAGAGAAGGAGCATTTGTTGGCTCATGTAATTGAGAAAAACACACTGAAATAGGCATCAGTCACAATTTGCAGGGGAGAGGGTTTCAAAAATATTCTGCAGCTGGCTTTTTGTCTATTCACTTCTATGCAGTATGGGCATTTTTCCCATTAAGAGGCAGATAGGCTTTTAACATATCTTTATAGCAACATCACTGGGAAGAGCCAGTTCCTTTCTCCCAGATGCTATACATCAATCACAGGGAAAGGATCTGATTGTCCATGCTTGGGATAGATACCTATTCCAAATCAATCACCATCGTCAATATGATCTGGTACAAAGTTTGGCCCATTCTGGATTATAGGATCACCCTTATTACCATGGTTTGTTATTATATGAAGAGAGTGAAAGAGAGAAAAGAACACATATTAAGAAGAAAGAAATAGCATCTACCCATCATTAATAAGAAGTGCAATAACAAGTACTACAATTGAGGTTATTTCCCTACCTTTTCTTTGGTTTGGTCCTGTATTTTCTATTCAATGCCATACCTATATCAGCAACTAAGTTTGTCTTTGAGAGGGGTTGTGAGAGAAGTTCCTGAAATTACTACTTATAGTATATTCTAAACTTAACTTTCTTTTTTCTATCAAGAGTTCTGAATTGTCACTTTGTGCCCATAAGTCAGGAATATTTTCTGTCATTAAAGCCAGAAAGGAAATCTCAACTTTATTTTAGCCATAGGTGGTGAAGATCTGAGAACTCTTTATTTTTTTCTTTATCCCTTTGCCACATTCCAGCTGTGATATTGATAACCTAGCACTAGGCTTGCGTGTTAATTTGAAATATTATAGTCTCCTACTTTAAAAAATATTCCAATAAAAATATTACTTAAACTTTCAACTCTCACTTAGTAAATATTTGTTAAGTGAATAAATTAATGGTTGGCACCTGATAAATATTATTCATTTGTAATATCAAATATTAAAGATATTTTTAATTTAAAGATATTTTTTGAGACCTTGCAATTCCCCTTCTATACACATTTATATGTATGTTTCGCTCTAATTTTAAAATGTCATTTCAGCTTTTGTTCTGTTTTCTAGCCTGTGGCTTATGCATTTCTGGAAACAGTATTCCTGACATCACATCAATTTTAAAAACTTGAATGCATTTCTCATCCGTTTTGTCTTTCCAGTGTCTCAGAACCAATCCAGTGCCAATGTGTCTGGAATTCTCCATTCACAATGTGTCTTTTCCTATTTAGGAAGCCAAATTACAAACAATCCATACTTAGAAACAGACTTTAATCCCTAATTATGCTATATTTCCTTTCACCTCCACACTAAAGACATAATTAGGTGAAATGCCCATTATCCAAAATGTTTGGGACCAGAGTGTTTTGGATTTCAGAATTTTGGGGATTTGGGGATATTTCCATTATACTTACTGGTTGGGCATCCCTAACCTGAAAATCCAAACTCCAAAGTGCTCCAATGTGCATTTTATTTGAGCATCATGTTGGTGCTCAAAATGTTTCAAATTTTGGAGCATTTCGGATTTCAGATTTTTGCATTAGACATACTCAACCTATATTTGTTTCACTAGTCATTTGTACATTTTTAAACATGTAACTTCTCAAAGTCATTTTCCCTCTTTGATCTAGATTTTCCTTGCAAAGCTAATTCCATGCGCTTAATTCTAACTGGATTCATCCTCTCAAACTATATACTAGATTCATTACCACTTTGTATGTTTTGGCCAGTTTGATCCATGATAAATTTTGACATAGGAAAATATGAAAATTTTGCTAATAAACATCAAGAGAGAAATGAAGTCATCATTATTCTTCCTCTTATTTTACTATTTAGAATTCACATATCTTCCATTAGATTCAAGTATCACTTTTATTATAGAGGCTTTTAAAAAAATCTCTTCTAAATAAAGATGGAGCTATGGTTTGAATGTGTCCCTCACATTTATGTGTTGGAAGCTTAATCCTCAATCTAATAGTGCTGGGACGTGAAGACTAATAAGAGGTGACTAGGTTATGAGGGTGGAGACCTCATGGTTGGATTAATACTATCATAATGAAAGTGGTTTAGGTATTGCAAGAGTAGATTGTAACAAAATGTCCTATACATGCCCCAAATTGACCATGTTTAAAATTTAATTGATCTCCAACTTTTTTTCTACTATATTTCCTATATCAGATAGTAGTATCAACATCTGCCTGGTTATTTAAGCCCAAATTATACTTGATTTCTTTCCCTTCTCTGTGATCCTTTTAAACAGCAAGTCAGATATAATGCACCTTTGTTTAAAACATGTCCTCACTTTCCATGAATTGCTCTTATAATAAAGCTAAAACTCCTTATTATCGCCTATAAGACTTATGTGATCTGACCTCTGATTTAAATTGCTCGTTTATTTCCAACCACCACCTTCCACCTCTCACTTTCCTTCAACCAGCCATACTAGATTTCTTTCTGATTATGGAACTTGTCATGTTTTCTTCATCATGACTTCTTGCATTACACTATTCCTTGTCTATGCTTGCCTCTTTCACATCCCTTTTGGTCAATTCACTTCCACTCATCATTCTAATCTCAGTGTACGTAAATTCACTTACTCCAGAAAGGCTGTCTCAACAATTTTGAGTTGTTTGCCTACCCAGCAATGTTGGTTCACCTGATTACCCAACCTCTTATTTATGTTAGGACCTCCTCCATCATGCACTACCGCCAAAGCATCTGTATTTCTCCCATCCCAGAACTTATTCCATTGTTTGGAAATACCTACTTCCTTGTCTGCATCTCTCACTACACAGTGAACTCCATAAAAGCCAGAACTGTGTTGAAATTTTTCACCAGTGAATCCCTTATGCCTATAAGAATGTTTAGTTTAATTTGTATTTCCTGTTCACTCTGGAGTTGAGTATCTTTTCATGTACTTACTGGCTATTCATGCATTTTCTATTGTAAAGTGTGTTTTCAAGTTTTTTCCCACTTTTAATTGAGGTATTTGTCTTTTTATTATTGCGCTTTAAGAACTATGTATGTTTCAGGGTACCAGTCCTTTGTATGCTATGTGTATTGCAAATATTTTCTCTAGTCTGTGGCTGGTCTTTTCATTTTTTTAATATGTCTTTCAAAAAGGAGTTTTTAAATGTGATAAAATCTCATTTATCAATATTTTTTCTTTCATGATTTTTGCTTTTTGCATCCTAGGAAATTTTTGCCTACCCCAAATCATGGAGATTTTATACTTTGTTTTCTTATAGTTTTATCTTTTGTGTTTAGATCAATCATCCATTTAAGTTAATTTTTCCCTATGGTATGAGGTAAAAGTTGAGATTCACTTTTTTCCCATACAGATATCTGGCTGTTTCAGCACCAAATGTTAAAAAGACTGTTTTTTATTCCCCATTGAATTACCTTGGCATTTCTATAAAATCAATTGACCAAATACATGTGGTTCTATTTTTGGACTCTAGGGTACAGCAATGACCACAGCTCATAAGATCACCTGGGTGGACCATTCAGCTGATACATAATAGAGAAGAATCATTAGGAAAGGATATAAGATTTCAGCAGAAATTGAGAAGAAATATTGACGAGTATTGCTTTATGATCTTGCAGCTGGCTGTCTCCTCCCTCTTTCCTACCCAGAGTAAGTCACCTACCACACAGGATAATAATTTTTTCCTGGGACTCAGTGGATCACTTCTAGGAAGATATAAGTAGGTTATTTAGAACATAAAATCCATTTAATCAAATCAAATAAAGAGTATGGCTCCTCTATTATATTTTCTTTGGATAACAAGTGATAGTTGGGACAGGTGCATATTATGATTTTTACTTTCCCAGTCTGTTTCTTAGCCCTGCTGAAGTCTCCAATTAGATGCATATAGCTATCATTACATTAGAAAATTTTCATTCAAGCTCTCTAGATAAGTATAGATGACAACTGTCATAAGAAAAAGCTTAATAAGGGTAATTCACATTCATGGTAAATCCTAAAGCTGAAGTGAATGCATATCAAGAATAATAACACAGGACTAATTGATCTACATGGATAAAAAGGATAAAATGGAGCCATATTTACACCTACATTGGTTTTATATCCTATGCTATTTGAATTCACAGCTTACTTTGAAATGTCTTCGAAAGGTGCTATTTGTTCAATGAATACACTTAAAAATAACACCAGAGCTTCGGCTGAACCCTGGAGCGCCCAAGCAGATTCCAAAGATAGGAAAAGAATTCTTAGCATTTTACTATACTATGTGTGTTTTTATTTCATTTTTCAAAAATAACCTCTACATTTTTCAAATAAATATTGCTCTTCTACAAGACACTGTGGTCTGGAAGCCTCATCTTATGTTAGGTGAAAGCATCCTTATGTCTTGGTGCTATCTCCTGTGTTAACCATTTCTGTAAGGCGTTGCTAACAGATGTTCAAGATGCAGTTCCTGAGATCCAGCATGTGCTGTGTCAGCCTGAGAGTTTGAATCATGCCATAGGTATACTTGAGCATTACTCACACATATAATGCAATGACAAATTTTTATACCCAAATTATTGTTTCCTTATACTCCTTATGCTTCTGTATGACATGATTTTTTTTTTTTTGCCTGCTTCACTCTTGTAGCCATTACTGCCTTCTGAGTCATCTTACAGTTATTTGAAATTTTGATATTTTTTAACTCTTTGGTAAATTCCAGCCTGACCATCTCTGTATTTTCCAAAGCCCTAATGAAGTTCCATGAATTTGATTACATTCAATGTATATTTGTTGAGATGGAATTTTTTGTATAGATATTAATAAAGATTAGGATTAATGCCCTAGTACTATACTAATCATATTATCAAGCTTTCAGTCTAGTTGTGTTGCCAGGAATACAATTAAGCTCATGGCCTATCCAATTCTCAGTAATGAGAAGACAGGTTTGACAGTGTGGGATGATTAAGATGCTTAATGTTCAATTAGCCTCCTTGGATTAAGTCTAGTAAAGGAAAAGGCAGATAATTTAAAGTTGTATTATGGAGAATATTATTTTACAAAAACCTTAAGAGAGCAATTTGAAAAGGGCATTGATTGCTCAAAACTTAAAATATCCAAGGCATCATTTTGAAACTACAAAGACCAGATAAAAGGGTTATAAATATACTGAAAGTGAATGGCACAGACTAGAAAACTGAAAAATGTAGCAAAACTTGATATGAAGAATTTATTTAATCTAGCAGAAATAGGAAAAGGTGGACAATATAAATGACTCCTAAATCTACAGTGACATCCATTATCATAAATTACCAACATGAGGAATGCTATAATAGTAAATGTAATTTTCTTGAGTCATTACATTTCAAAGACATATCACATAGCTAGTATATAAAAATACGGATAAAATGTGAACGGATTTCCTCTACTGGGAAGCAAGGGAATTTATACTTTCTTGTGAATCATTGTGAGAATGAAGTCAGTCATAGGCAGTAGTGGAGCTGGGGTGTGTGTGTGGAAGGGTGTGTGTGTACCTACCAGTAATTAAATGCACTCCCAGAATTTGGGAACCAACTTTGAACATGAACTGGGTGAAATTTGTCATCATCAGAGATAATCTGTTTTAAGAGACGGCTTCTGACTATGCTGCTGCTAAGACAAGGAGCACCCAAAGCCTAAATGTTCAAGGCTTAATTTCTTTCAGAGCTTCAGTGTCAAATCATGCCTTTGTACATGAAAGCTGCATCCTATTCCACAGAACGTGTGCTTTGGAAGGGACCTTGGTGGCCCTTGAGTCCAACTTTCTACCTAACCACATGTATTACTGAAAGGTGGGGTGGTCTGCTCTATCTGCAAATACTTCACACAATTTCAGCCATTTTAAAAGTCCATGCTCTAATTTTTGACTCTTCTAAACATCCTCCTTAGATAAAATCTGAAATTTCATTCATTGGCTCTAGTTCTTTTCAATGGAGTCACAGAATTTAAAAAAAATTTTGCACCAGCATTAATGCCTTTTAAATATTTAAATTTAGTTCTCCCTACTGCATTCTACCAAGTTGCCTAAGTGTTTCCAACTCCTGATGTGAGATAATTTCTAGTTCCCTCATGATCCTGGTTGTTCTCAAACTGTCCTCTCTCTTTTAAATGAATTCTCAATCATCTGTATCTTTAAAGTGTGATGACTCCCACTGCAAAAGAAAAATGGACAAAACATAGGAAGAGCTAATTCATGAAAGAAGAAATGTAAATTTTCAATAAATGTGTAAAAAATGTGATTTCCATAGTAATCAATTAAAGGTTAATTAAAGGAAGATAAGCCTTTTTGAATATATAAAGTTGGCAAGGATGAGAAACCCCACTATTTTTGGCAAGGGTTCAGGGAAGCAGGCACCACTATATGCTAATACAATAAAGGAAAAAAAGTCAGAGAAATGTTCAAAAATTCATGAAAACAACTGTTTACCATATAGAGAAAAGTGATAAGGGGGGAATAGTTAAATAGCTTATGGCACAATGTAGCTACTGAAAATATTGTAAGATAATTTAATGACATCAGGGGAAAATGTTTGTAATTTATATATAATACATATATGAAATTTTGATTAATATCTGTAGAAAAATACCAAAGAAATACTGGGACATGCAATAATGGGTATCATACCTTTCTATCTTTTCAATGATTATGATAAGGAAAATATCTGTCCAACCAGAAATTAAACAAAAACAAGTTTTAAAAAATGCTTCCAGAAATGGTCTGATCAGTCCTGAACCCTGCTGTTTGCTCCTTGACTCTTTTTTCCCACGTATCTTAGGGTCATAGTGACCTTTTAAATTGCTACTTCCCCAATTACAGTGTTCTAACACCTCCAAATATTTTTCATGACTACTGCTATTAAGTCATGCTCCTGTCTTTTTGAACCTGAGTATCTGCCTTTATATTTTTGTTCCTGTCAAATTTCATTTGGTTTCATTAAACCTACATGTTGAGCTGTTGAAGGTTTTTAATTTTTTTTCTATTGTTCCATACCGACCAGCCACGCACAGATCTGCATAATCCACAGATCCATTTGCATGACATTAATGTCCTCATTCAACATTAACGCCCTTTTATTCATCAAAGATTGTGGAGTATGACCCTCCCTTTCTTTTCTGCTAGGGATGAAATCCATTGTAATCGGCTTCACCAAAAGATGTATTGGCCAAACCGTTTTAATTTGAAGTAAAACTATCACTTAAGATGGAAGACCATTCTAAGTAAATTTCATTGTATGTGTCCTACTTATGGAGAAAGAAATTTAGGCATTTGGAGGAAAACTATTTTGGAAGATTATAGAGATATTTAAGTGAATTTATAATCATGGAAAATAGTATATATGAAAAATTTTATCAATTATAGCTGCAAGAACGCTAAACAATGCATGGTGTAAGGCGCTCCTGGTGCACGCTATCTGATTGCATTTTTCAAGAATTCTAGCCATGGGCTTTGGGATAGTGAAAGCCACCACTCTGACTAAAGTAAACAATTTATCCCAGTAAAGCACCATCAGATACTTTTATCACTGGTTACAACCCTTAGAAAGAGAGTCAGACCTACGTCATTTGCTAACTTTAGTTTCTTGTCCTTAAAAGAAATTTCACATTGATCTGGAAGAAGGTAAACATTGGCAGATTCTCTTCTCTAATTATTTTGCTTTTAGAGTCTCAACTAATCTCTCTCAATAGACAAACTAAGAAAATTTATATGCAAACATGTAAAGCACTTTTCCCAAGACAGCAAATAGTTTCCTATTAGGTGAGAAAGAACTTTAGGATGCAAATGTCTATTAGTATTAAGGGAAAAGGATATATATAGATCTTAAAGCAAATGATGTTGAACAATAGGAAGTCTTGGAAAGTGAAGAAAAGTGTGGGCAAGTTAGTTTAAGTTCTCTGTCCATAGGAGCACGCCCTGGGACGTGGTGATGGCCAGCCTTTTGAAGGCATATTAGTACCTTCCTTTGAGCACATTCATATACCAATGTTAACAAAAGAAAAGAGGGCTGAGAGAGGGGGAGATATTGTAATTTTAAGATTTGAGAAAGAGCAATTTCAACTGTTACTTTTAAACAATCATCACAGCACCGCATAGACCCAAAGACGAAACGGGAATTGAAAAGGGAGGCGGCTAATCTTTGTGACAGCTTGCAATGGAAATACCGTGTTTCCCCAAAAATAAGACAGCGTCTTATATTTATTTTCCCTCAAGAAGACACCCTATGGCTTATTTTCAGGGGATATGTTATTTTTTTAAAAGTACGGTACAACAATCTACATTTATTCAAACATAGTTAAGTCATATTCTTCGGGAACATCATCATAACTCTCCAAACCCCGAATTCCATCCTCATTACGTGTGACTCTATTTCCTTTAGAACCATTGGCCCCAATCTCTCGTGTGGAGCAGTAGAGCTCTCATGGTGCAGATGAGAATGGCTGCTGGTCTTCTTTACCACTCTGCAACTAAATGCATGTTGTTGTGCAGATACACTGTGTAGCCATGCCCATCAAAGGTCTTATTTTCAGGGTAGGCCTTATATTGTGCAAATGCTTAGAAATCCTGCTAGGGCTTATTTTATGGGTAGGTCTTATTTTCAGGGAAACACGGTAGCAAAAAAAGAAGGGGTTGCTCAGAGGTGAGAAGGCAGCACTTTTACTTTAACCACAGATCATTAAGACATTAAGAATCATGTTACTTCTGTTGTGGGCAGATTTAAGTCACCTAAAAGTGTTTCTAGTTTACCGATTTCTCCCTTTGTTTCCTTGGGCAAAAGAAATCATATCCTCTCTTTTTGACATAATAGAACCTAGAGCAATATTTTTTTCCCTTAGTTTATTCTGTTTGGGGTATGGGTATTGACATCCATGAAGAGAATATCTATGTGGAACTCGAGAGAAACAAATCTTATTCTGTTAAGCTACTGAAATTCTGGAGTTCTTGGTTACAACTATTGGGCTTCCCCAACTAAGTATGGATTCTGGGCCATTTTCCTCCTTTGCCAGCCTTTGTTCAAATCTCATTCCATCATTAGCTTTGTGATCTTGAACAAGCTATTGAACCTCTCTATGCTTCAATTTCCTTATACGTGAAATAGTAATAATAGCATTATGTATCTCATAGAATATTTGGGGGATTTAATGAAGTATATAGCCCTTTAATAAAACTGGCAGATAAGTAAAAGTTACTATTATTTATTCCCAAGTAAGAATCTCATTTTGAGATCATATCCTAATATGGGTCTTTTATAGAGTTGAATAGAGAACTATAGGCTGATTTGTTAAAGAAAAGAAACTATCCAAATAGGACACTCAACTGCAAGAGTATTGAATTTTGTAGAAAGAAAACAAGGGAGAAAAGGAAAGAAGGAAGGAGAGAGAGTAAAGTAAGGAAGGAGGAAGGGAGGGGGCAAAGAAGGAATGTAGCAGAGGTAATGGCCAAAACAAAACAAACAAAAAAAAAAAAACGGAAAAAGATATTTTCTGTCTCTTTAAAACTTCCCCCACTCTTTTTGGGAATTTAGGCCTGCAATCCCTGCTTTGGGGTCAGGTGGTCCTAGGACCAAGAGAATGTCTTTTGCTCTTTGTGTTACAGAACATAGCTCAGCTGACTGTGGCTCCATCCTAGGCCCTGGAACATCACCAGAGGAGGTGTGCATAGGCCTCCCTGGTGGGTGGAGAAAACAGATATTGAATGATTAGAATCATTAAGGACAATAGCCTAGAACTGAGGGCCCTCCCTTTAAAAGCTCTGTGCTTCTGCTTATGTACAAGAAGAGATTAGATTTAGATTCTGAGACAATAGTCTGCCATTTTCTTCCTTTGCCAGCAAAATAATAAATTTCTCTTTCCTTCTCCTCAAACCATTTGTTCTCCTTCTGATGTGGCCTCGAAGATAAGAGTTGAGCTGTTAGTAACAAGAAGACTATTCTAGGCAGCTTGTGTAGTAACTCAACTTTGTTAATAAGTCCGGCACAGCAAGGAAGGAAATATAGCTCAGCATCAGCTAGTTAATGTGGACAAAACAAATTCTGAAGGCTGACCAACATTTTCTCTTGTTATTATCTGCAATAACATCCCTTTCTGCTTTGGATATTGAGTATATTCAACATCCCCTGCACTTTTTTCTACCAATGACAAATACTCTCTGGCTTTGTAAACATATCCACACTTGTCCTGTTGTAAAAGTAAAACAAATTGAAATATGCCAATAGCCTTTTTCCACTTTGTAAGTTTTATTCTAAGACATAGTGCCTATAATATAAACCAATATGATGCCAGAAAAAAAAAAAAAGGAAAAAAATCCTCTTACCAAATGTACCACTGTGCATTTACAGTTTCTTCTATAAATAGATGAAAATTACAGGTTTTAAAGTGGATGATAGACTACAGCAAAAATTGTGTGAACTCAGAAAAATGAGTGAAGCATAAAATATACTGTATGTAATACAAATGGGTATTTACTCAGCAGCAGTGACAACAAAGTTAAACACAAGGAAAGTAGTACTTTGTAGGTCGGGTAACAAGGAACTATAAAATGCCCTGGTTTTTGTCCCTTTGAAGTTTCTTAGAAGAAATTGCTTGCTATGTAGGCAAGTATATGAATTTGGCAGTTGACTATTATTCATCAAGATGTTCTTCATCTTTATGAAAGTGTGCTTCTATTTTTCTGAAGTCTTCAAGGCATGAACAAAAAGAGTTGTATCTGCAGAGAAAGAAGAGCGTTTTCTACTCCAAAAACAAATGGTGCCTATTCTGAAAAGAAAAAAAAAGTAGTTAACTTGAAAAAAAACTAAATGAGGTTTTCTGCACTGTTGCAATGCCCAAGGACAGTTCTGATTTGATGCCTTAGCAATTTACATGGAATTTTACTCTAGTGGTTTCTCTAGAGTTCAGCAAAAACAAGTAACAGAACAATATACTATTTCTGAGCCCCAGGAATCATTTTCAGAGCCCAGTGTACATAGTATTAAAATTCTTCACTTCCAATAGTATCATATAAGTGGACTGCAAAGAAAAATAAAAACCCTTTCAATCTTGCATGCCAATTGAGTTTTGTGGGACATTTGGGGCTTTTATTTACCTTCCAGAAGGGTATGTGGGATCAAAGATCAGATGCAGTGCAGAGATGAGTGTGAAATAGAGGGGTAGTACTAGTGCTGACAGATTTTTTTACTAACTCAAGTAGCCGAATTGGTTTGAGGATGAGGACACTTCACCTCTGGGGATAAGTTAACAAAAAGGGCCTGCCAGTTTCACCAGGCAACCTCTATCACTCCACAGCTCTTGGTGTGACAATGGCTTGACCATCCTCGATAACAAAGAAGAAGTAGGAAACTCACCCTTATAATCTTTAAATTAGTCCTAGAATTTCATAATAATAGGACATGGTCTAGTCTTAGCAACATACACAGGGAAGGAAAAACATAGACAATCACTGGATTATGTTCCTTCAATTATGTGAATATTTCTACACGTCAGTGTGGGGAGTTCTCTGATCCTGAGTAGACTCAACAGTAATTGGAGCCCTTGGTTTCCATGCATAGACTCTCTGAGAAAGTCATTTATGCATTTTTTTCCAGCTACTATTCTGTGCTAAAAAAAAAATGTAGTGGGAAAAGTATTAGAGAATGAGACATGAAACATGAGACAAGAATTTGAATCTTAGTACTGCCATCAGTCCCATTTTATAGCGAGTCACTTCCCCTCTCTGTAGGTCTGTTTCCTCAACTCCAAGGAGCAGGGATTGGATTGGCTGGTCTTAAAACCCCTTTCAGATCAAAGTCTAGACTACATACAAAAGCTAGCACTGGATCCTTTAGTCACTGGATCTATGTAAACTGTTAAAATGAGGAGGTCTTGTCTTTTAAATATGCCCATTAAGAAAAAAGCATTTTTTTCCCTCCTGGCTCTAGGATGTAAGTCACTTGTTGCACTAAGACATGTAAACAATTGACACAGGACAACATAGCTTATTCTTTGCACTTGTCATGTTACATTAAATGCTAGATGGGTATGCTGTTTAATAAAAAAGTAAGCCATCTGATTATGTTTTTTACTTATCAAAATTAAACTGAGCTCATAATTAATATCCAATTAACACCACCAGGTGAAGTACTTTAGCGTTGTTTCCCCTCTAAGTAAGTAAAGAGTGATTCTCTTCTGATGGCTTTGTACTTCTTGGAGGGTAAGTAGGTCCCCATTCAGACTCTTGTTCTCACTGCAGCTGACTCACACCAAATCCTCCAAGAACAATCTCATCATATAATTTTCTTTTTTCACAATGGTCACAGTTCTCTAGCTATATAATAAAAATCATGCAAATCTGGATTTTGCTTATGCTAAAGACAGGCTTATTTGAATAAGAGGACCAATGTTCATTTACTTCTGCATGAATGAAGCTTGATGCAATGTTTTTCAATGTGACTTCAGCTAAGCTGCAATCAGCAGAGCCTACAATACAGATTGCTATACTTACAAGTCTGATTTGTGACAACTGTGGCACCTAATTGTGTTCTCAGTTCTAGATTTAGAGTTTCTCTAGCTTTATTCTTCTGGCCAGCTATTGAATATGATTTCATGTACTCTCAGCAATCAGTCCATTTAATTTGAATTTTTGCTTGTTTCATCAGGATTCAAAATGAAATCTAACAAATTTCAGATGAAGTCTAAAATAGGATTTTCTGTGATTCACACACATCAGTGAAGAATACAGGATTATGCATATGCCTTTATATATAGTTATGAGTATATAGATGTGTATATGTGTGTGTGTGTATATATACACACACACAGATGGACTCTATTTGTATATATACAAACATCCCTCAAAATTGCTTTTTCTTTGATAGATTTGTTATCAATGTAAAATTATGTACTTTAAATGGTTTCTTATTCACATTACCATCATAACAATGTAAATCGTTACCACTTGTCACTCAGTTAACTTAGGAAGGATTCAAGCGTTCATTTAAAAGCCCTTTATAAATTTCCTTACCTTTTCAAAAAGTCTGCAGAATGCAAAGTAATATTTATTCTGTTATTTTTAGCTTGCAGGTTTTTATGCAGATTGCAGAAAAATGGTGGCCACTCCCAATAGGGTGGGGAACCTGTTGCCTTGGGGCCAACATGTGGCCCTCCAGATACTGAGGTACAGCCCCTCAACCAAGCCCAAACTTCACAGTACAAATTCCTTTATTAAGATTATTTGTTCTATAAAATTTGGATTCAATCAAAAGGCCACACTCAAGGATCGAGAAGGCCACATGTGGCCCCAAGGATGCAGGTTCCCCACCCTATTGAAATATTTTCATTTTTTATAGATAACTTTAATTAACTTCTGGGATACATACACATCAGTGATAAGTGAATGCAGTTAATTTTTTCAATGATTAGATGCTGGTTAAAATCTCTTTCAGTTGACCAGAATCTATGGAATTGATCAGAAAACTGCATGACAAAAAACTGCCCTGGAATTGCTCTTTTGCCAAAGTCTTCTCTAACAGTAAATCTTAGATGGAAAATTTCTTCTCAACATGGGAGAAATTAGACTTTGTGTTTCCACTAGCATTAGGAAGCTGTAATAAAGAAGAACAGAAAATCAAAGCAGAGAAAACTAAACTACTGAGAAAAATAAGTCATGAGATTCTATCAAAATGCTAATTATACTGGAAATCATTCAATTGGGTCCCCAAATGGGGAAAAATGTGTTTTTTGTTTCCGACTTTTAGAAAGAAAGGAGACAGATGACAATAACAACAACAACAAAAAGTATAGAGTAGGAATTTAGTTAATAAAAAAGAAAGAAAGAGGAGGAGAGGCAAAGATAGAGAGGGAAAAAAGCCCATCCCTGCCCCTCTGAAGAAAACACTGCACATATAAATCTGCAGTTTACCTATTCCACATAACACCAGCTACCATAGAATGAGGACTACAAGGTACTGCAAAAGTCTCCTTCATCAGGAAAAGCTACAGTGAGGCAGGACAGCAAGCAATTTTTCAAAAGTTTCTCAGCAGTAAGGGCTAAAACAAATAGAGATGACCCTTTATTTATTAGAAAACTAAGCAAATTAGGATACGTCATTCTCCAAAGCATTCTGATTAATCAAGGATTCCTTTTTATTTAAAAGTGGAACATTTGTATCACAACAGGGAGGAAAACAATCTGTATTATCATTTTAGAATTTGTATCTATTAATTTTTCTTTGAGTGGGCATTCATATCCATCATTACCTCAAAAATAAAACTAACATTCATAGAACTGAAAATCATACAAGGAAACAAACAAACAAAAAAAAAACAATAACAACTCCCTTGGACGATGGAACTGGGGCTTGGCAATTTTTATGGATATGAGTACTGGGGGATAGAAATGGCAGAAGAGAGCAGGAAAGAGGCTTTACCCTAGATGGCACATTTTAATGATAACTCATCATGATACTTATCCCTGATGAAGACCTAAAAAGTACTTCTGAAGTGAAATGTATCATTACTTCCAGCTTCCAAAACATTTCGTAGGTTGAACCTGGCTTTTCCTTTCTGGATCATTCTGCAAAGACGGTTTTGAACTCTCAGCAAGTCAACTCCCTAATATTTGATGAGCAATGAGTATATGGAAAACAGAGCTGTCTCAAGCCTGAGACAGGAAACTATATATCTCTGCTTTCATTACCGCCTATTGTCCCTGTTTCTTTATCTTTGCCCCACCTATATGGAGCCATTAAAAAACAAAACAAAACAAAAAAAACAGTCAATCTATCTCTACCTCTAGTTTAAGACTATTAAAAAAAGTCAAAACTACTCAACTTCACAAAGGTTCTCATATATGACCAAGACCATCCTTTGTGATACTTTTTACATAATCCTAATATAATATATTGTGTTTGGCCCTGAAATCAATTGGTTACTAGTCTACGTAAATGCTATTCTATACAAATATTAGCAAGTAGAGCAATCTCGAAGATACCAGAACAAATAACAAATTACAGATCATCTGCTAAAGAGAGGGCAGAATGCGCAGGCAGTAGCCCAGTGAGGTGGTCACTGACACCACGTGGTCTAGCAGATGTGAAAGGACTCTACATGACAAAGCACTTTGGACATTAAGGTCATTATTATTGTTGTTATTATGGTATAACAACTGATACACTATGGGGAAATTAAACCCCTAGAAGGCAAAAGCTCTGGTCAGATTTAATGTAAGGAATCATTTTTCTCTCCAGGTCTAATAGTTGGCACTTGGCAATGATAATGTAAAGTATGGAGAGACACATCTTGGGCCTATAAAATAGAAATTTGAATATACAAATATATATTATGAAGTGTGATAGGATACAAATTGATGTAAAAATATGCTTTGCTTTCCCTGTTTCATGATTTTAAAAAGCATATATGTTTGTGTTATTGGATGTTGAAGCAGAGTTAGGAAACCCTTTGGTTATGTTTTAGGAAAGTTTTCACAGTATATGTTATTACAGTGTTTAAGTTGGTATCTTACATGTTAAATAGTCTTTTGAATGATTTAGGAACCAACCAAAAATAACTAAACATTAATGTAGATCATTCTAATAACATGTTTAGTTATACTGTTTTGGGAAGTAAGAATGGATGGATGGTAAGAGTGGAAATTCATCAAGATTTGTAAGTTGGCCCATTTTTAATTAAGTGTTTGAGATAGTCAAGTAATCCTGATGTGTAGAATGTGCATGCTATCTTCATAGTTAATTAGGTGATGGCCTGAGGCTTTAGCTGCAGGAAGTACTGAGGGAAGATGGTATACCAGAAAGAGACACCTTTCCTTCTCCAAGCTAACTAGTAACTGTGGTAAGATACTTGTACCCTGATAGCATTTCTAGGGTCAGTGTTTGACAATCAACCATTCTTCAAGATGTTAGAGCTGCTCAGGTTCAAGAAGCCATTGAGTCAATAACTTTGCCTCATGAGGCCAAATCCCATGGCTTTTGGGGATAACTCACTGTTTAACAATTTGGGGCAGCTATCTTGAAGGAAAATCTTCCCATTTCTTAGGTCACAGTTATCATGTCACTGGCCTTCATTTCAATTCCAGTTAAATTATAAAGTGCAGTATATAGTGTTGAACCTTCAGAAAGAACATAATGAGCACAACCACCCTCCACAAAATCCCAAGTTTAAATTACTAGCAGAGTCATAATCCATATCTGAGAATGTACAGGAACTTGATCAGCACTGTTGTTGTCTACATCATCGCTGTCATCATTGTTAACAGCATCAGCATCACAGTTGTGGTTTCATGAACCATGATCATGTCAAATGATGTGGCAAGACCTTAAACACCAACATCAAGACACTGTCCAGTTTGGGTGTGTAAATATTATCCTGTGTTTTGTGGCCCATTTAGCAAATACTTTCTTTTCAGTGATAAACCTATGGCCCCCATATGGGGCGTGTTCATGAAGAAAATATTCATCACACTCATCTCTTCCTTGTTCATAGTAATGGTAGGGGACTTTTCTATATCCTTCTGTCCTAGAAAAGAGAAAATAATGATAATGAGAGAAAGATTGAGATGAGGAATGAAGAATGAAACATTCACTTATAAGAATCCATTACGTGCCCAGTAAATGCATTTACTTGCAAACCCATGTATGATTTTTTTTTTTATCCATGAACTCAGTTAAAAGCTATTATGCATGAAAGCTTTTAGGAAGATGTACCAGGTTCCTAGTGCTTTAATAGATCAAATACAGTTTATATATATATTAATAATACCAATTACATTCAAACATATGGCTGGCTATCCTTTGAAGGAGGAAATGGTGTATAATAATGGAAGCCAACTTTGGATAGCCTCCTGCAGAACTTAAAGAAACTCTGGGATTTTTCATAGTAAGAAATTGGGTTCATGTGTGCTCCATTCTTCTTATAGTTAGGATAGAAACATTTGTTCATGAAGATTGTTGCTGGCTGAGAGTTACCATTTTGACAATATGATTAAAACAGTCTCCAAATTATATTGTGCCAATTGTTGGTAGGGAAATATATTTCATTACCCTGATGAAGCATGGAGGATTTGTTTTATTATTTAATTAAAAACTCTCCCACCAGTGAGGATATACTGTGGATAAACACACTCATTTTAAATAAAGATGTAGTAGATTATTCACTTATTAGAGAAAGACAATTTCCAGAAATACTTGTTAAGCTGTCAGTTTCTTTGAGGCATCAGGACATTTTGTCCTTCATGATAAAATATAACCATTGAAAAGGTAGCCATCCATCAAACCATCAGAGCAGCAGAAATGACAACCTTGCTTTTGCAAATTAAATAACCACTGAACTTGTTCTGTATTTCCAAGCCACAAGTCCCTGATATGTCACTGATTAAGGGAAAAGTGTTCCTTCTGACATTTGACATTAGATTGTGGCAAATATTTTTCTTTTTATCATCCCTAAAAGTCTCAGCCTGATGCACTGACAATAAAATGTCATGTCAGCAAAGAACACTGGGAAATAATTGTTGCTTTATCTGTTTCGCAGATTTATGGTATTAAAATGAATTGTGATATTTTGACAAGATATCAAAATTGGAGCTGCATAAAAATAATTTCCTGTGATCTTACTTGCAGTAGGTGTCATTTATCATCCCGTAGACGTGAATGCCGTAGCAGGCGTCCATGGCCAGAATGAAGGTAAACCACCCTGTGCTGAGATAAGAGCCAGACTGGACTCTGGGGAGGGGAACAAAAACAAAACATCAACAAACAACACAAAACAAACACAGAACAACAATAAAAGTATGTGAGAAATGAACGGCATTTTATCAAAAACATAGCACTTGTTATCAGGAAATAGCATTAAGAAACCTGACAATATGTCAAAGATACACACTTATCTTCAATTATCTCTGAATAATTTATAGGAATGCTCTTGCTCTTACTTCCTTAGGCCTCAAAGCTATGTTGTGAGGAAGAGAAGCCATATGGCAAATATCTGAAGTCAAATAATTCTGCTCCCTTCAGGTGAAAAATAATTTAATTTTCCACAAGACACGAATTAGTGCTGTATATCAGAGCACAGGTTTTCTGAAAGTTGCTTGGAGCCCTGATGGGAGCTGAATGATAATGGTGTTATCTTGCTTACATGGACATATCACTTTCTTGAAGGCTCCTTGGATTTCTAAGTGTAAATTGGATGCAGAGTAGGTGAATGACTTGGCCTACAAAATCATCAGAAAAGTTTTCCTTAACTGCTTCCCAGGCATCATGAGACAAGATTTTTTTCTTTGTAATATCTATGTTACCAACATTTTTATTAAGCACCTACTATGTGATAACCTTTTTCAGAATGCTGGGGATACAACAGTTATCAAAACAACCAACACGTTGGTCACTGTGGAGACAGAATGGATTTGGAAGTGGCTATGTTATCATAAAGCTTGGTTAGGGAAGGTCTCTTTGATAATGGGTGCAAAGATCTGAAAAAAGGGGAAGGGGCAAGGTGAGAAGAAACCACATGGACTATGTGGGGGTGTGTGCGCCAAGTTCAAGGGAATGTTTGATGAAAAGCTGGATCTCCACATTTGTCTTTAGCCAAGGTGACCTAATCCATCCAAAGCAGATGACTGCCTATCTCCTTAAAACTCTCTCCATAGGGGCACTTGGACCACTCTAAGTTGCTTGACAGCTGTGCAGCAGCACCTCTCATAAAAGACATTTCCTACTTTCCATCTAGACTTCTTGGCCTACAGGAGCACAGCCAGTGCTTCTACAAACTGACACTCAGACACTGATAACCGCTCTCTGTGTACAGCAGGTAGTTGCTCCCCACTGATGTCCAATATTGTTGATGCACATCCCCAGTGCCAAGCCATCAGTGTGCTATCATTAGACGCTCTGAATCCTTTGCTGCTGCTACCTTCTTCTTTAAGCAAGCTCTACATAGTGTCAAATTACTTACAACATGCTAACAGTTCAAGAGCAACACAAACTCACAGTGGAGATCAGCAAGGAGAGACAAACTCAGCCCATATGTTAATATATCCTTTCTGATTTCTTGCCCCTGAGTCTGAAATGCCACTACCTAAGTAGCCATCCTTTTGCATTTCCTGGTGCATGGAAAATATTCCAGAAACCATATCACATTGAGTTACATGCATTTTCTTCTGTGATAGGAATTGTAGCAGCAATGTGGATCAGGAATAGGTGCAAAATGGGTAGGAAGACATACCTCAGGGAGGTGAGATACCCTAACGAGCAACTTTGCTTTTTAGAGGACTTAACCTGCAGGCGATCCTGCATCCTGGGGTCTGAGAAGGAGCAGCAATGATGGGAACTACTTAAAGCACCATCTGCTTAGAAAGCCCTTATTTGAAAATTGGGAGAGATCAGAAGAAGCAAAAGTCTTGACAAAATGCTCCCAAACTGAATCTAAAAATTTTGTCTATGCACGGAATTTGTCTGGTTATTATTCCTACTGAATTGCAGGCCCTTTGTTCTCTTTTTGCTTTCTCATACTACTTTAATCACCTTTCACTCCTTTCTATCCTCTCTACTCTTCTTTACTAGGCTGACCAAGCACTAGTAGAAATCACTAAATATTACACCATTTGTTTATGCGTAATGGGAAAAAAACCAGATCTCACTTAGTCACCCATTTATTCACTTTTTAAAGAAATATTTATTGGAATCCATTACGTGCCATTGACTGTGTTAAAAGCTCATGATAAGTATTTTCTTAAAGAGCACATGGCCGAGTGGGGGAGGCATACATGTTAAAACAACTGGTCACAACACAGTGCAACAAAGCACAGGCTTTCTCCACCTTCTACAGTCAGTCTGTAATTAAGCTTTAAACGTCAGGCAGTACCATGCTCCACGCATGCTGGATGTTGTAATTAGCAACAGAGTGAATCAGTCAGATCACATTTAGTGCTCACTTGTGTGATGGACATGATGCTAAATGTATGGGGTGTATATAAAAAGGTAAACTGGGTATGAAGTTTTTACCTTGCAATGGTAGTAGCTATAGTCACTAAACTTTTGGGGGAAGAAACTTCATGTTTCCCTTTTTCACATTACCACTCGGGGGCGGTGCTAAGATGGCTGTCCAAGACCACGGACACACTGAACCACAGTATTGAGGGTCCAGGTGAATTTGAGTGAGAAAAAAATCATCTTTAGGACGAGTCGTCTTTCCTTTTATGTGGTGCCTCCAGAGTTTCCCACTGTCAAGGACCAAGATAATACTATAGCTCCGGCATAAAGGGGAGGACCCTTTGTATGACATATGGACCCCTACTCTGCAAAACAAACTCTCATGACTCATTATGGTTCAGCAGAGAGTTCAACAGTAAGCCTCTGGAACACAGCCCTTGAAGGAAAAAGAGGGCATGCTGTCCTAGGGGTTTCTCTATAAATCTATATGCTCTTTACTACAGGAAAAGAGGATCAGGAAAAGAGGATCAAGAATTTTAGGGTTTCACATTTGGTCAAAGACCTTTCCATCTTATTGGCTAATAAGGAAACTTTACCACATTTCTGATACTTGATTCCTTTTAGACCTAACCTGATTTATCTTGTTTCTGGGTAGATAGACCATGCTAATTAGCTCAAAAGCTCTTCAAACAAGGTATGTTGCATTCGATTCAGACTGGAGAGGCTCATACTGCCCAAGTGCCCTGTCCTACAAACAGCACTTAATTAGACTGTTGCATTTTCTTCCCCTGATGCCTCTGATATATTTGATATGTGAAATCACATGAGGTTTCCTACCCACAGTACATGCTGGGGCTAGCAAAGTGATTTCTTCTCATAATATTTAGAGCTGATGTCCATACAGTGATGTTTGCTGTGGAATAATGGCAACTGCTGGATTAATCCAGAAAATCTGAATAAATGCCCTGGTAATCTGGAATTGACTGGCTTGGATAACGCTGGCTCTGGGAACTCTTATAACTGCACCATTTCCAAACTCTCCCATGCTGTTCTGTGAACATACTCGAAATGAGGAAGCATAAATTATACCCAAGTAGACCTTTTAAGGTTCAATAAAAACCACAACAAAAGACTTGACTTGATGTGCGTGATATTGTTTATGCCTTTCAGCTTGGAAAGACTTAATGATAACTAAGTCAAATGCCTTAAAAAATTCTTAAAGGGTCTCCTCTGGGGCCAAATATAGCCTTGTAATTTGTCACTCGAGCATGCGGCACTAACTACATGCTAGTTGGCCATCAGCCATAGCATATTTTATACCTTCCACATTTGGGGATCGATAAAAACAATTATTGGCATCCACAAATAAACAATCAAGATCCCCATAGGGATGATAAGAGAATTTAAGCCCTTAATTCAGTGCAATAGAAAAGGCTAAATTAATGCGGCAGAATAATGAGCTGTGCAAGGGAAAATAAAGGCAGGAGTGTGAAGAAGAAGCCATCAATCCTTGGTTTCTACTGGTCAGGCTCTGCATCCCACTGCTCCTTGGTCATCAAGATACTCACAACTTGGAAACTACTTAAATGTACTTGTCCATCTCTTAGGAAAGTGATGCTGTCAACATCTTGATGTAGTACATGTATGAAGGCGTATCATTTAAGATATGATCTTTCATCTAGTTTATTGCTTATAAAATATAAGCTACTTTACCCCTTGATGTTTGCCCCATTCTTGATGTCTAGAGGCCATCGCATGGATACCAGGATTCCTTATCTGTCGAGCTATCCTGATTTTTACCTTTGTCAATATCCTAGGCTGTCAGCATGCTTCATTTGCCTGCACCTCTGCTTCTGAGCACACTCTCTCCTCTACTCATGTCCTGAAACATCTTGTGAAGCACTTTTCTCCTATTGCCTACTAGGCTGGAACCTTGTACTGAGTGACATTTCCATTTTGGATAATTTGGGAGGAATTGAGGAAACAGACATGGTTATTCTTCAAAAGAAAACTATGTTGAATTTACTGTCTATTCACAGAATGCTCTGCTAATTATTGAACACCATTAGCTCAAAGAGTTGGGTTCTGAACTCAAGAAGCTTATATTTTATTAGGCAAAATAATGGCACTTTCTCTAGACCAGGGTTTCTTAATCTTAGCACTAATGATATTTTGGATGAGATAATTCTTTAGAGGGGGTGGCTGCCCTGCAATTCTCTTTGACATTTTACCAGATTTCCCTCTGTTCCAAGATCACCTGGGCCCTAGATTTCAGGGTGATATAAAGAGCCAGCCTTTATTTCTAGTTCCATCTCTGCCCACTCAATGTCCCTCTGGCTTTCCTCATCTGGCCAGGTGTCTAACTTCCTTCTCCTTTCTTTACAAGTCTATCCCAAGTCATTCAGGTTTGGCCAGTACTGAGCCATCATCTTACTTTTTCACAATTTTAGGAATCAGCAGATTCACTTGGCCCCTAGACCAAAGGGCAAGTCCTAGCGTGCAATGGGGGAATTTGCAGTGGGGAATGGACATAGTGTCAGATGGGAACATTGACAAGGAGTTTAGGTGCCTCAGTCCCTGGACCGTCTCTCTTCATGGAATGGTCCCTTTGGGGGTATTTGGCTCAAAGTTTGCAGCCTCAATTCCACTGTTTCTTACTTATTTCTTCTATGAATGGATGAAAGGCAAACCTGAGGCATTCAAAGCTAACATTTCAAAAGCATAATAATGATTTATCAAAGTTCAAAGGGAATCAAGACCCTCCCAATAATGGAGGTTTATTGGAGAACACAATA